TTTTTTTTCAGTTCCCTGAAAGGATTGATGAGTTGGAAGACATGCTTACTGAAAACAGGATCTGGAAAGCAAGAACAGTCGATATAGGTTTGATTCTAATCACCAATGGAATATCCAGTATTCATGAATAAAGTCTAGGGCTTGTTTCCGCCGCGGATGCATTGAACTGGGGTTTTGGTGGTGTTATGCTGCGAGGATCAGGGATCAAGCAAGATATCCGCAAAACCCAACCCTATGAAGTCTACGATCAAATGGAGTTTGATGTTCCAGTCGGAATCAAGGGAGATTGTTACGATAGGTTCGCCAAATATCTGATTTGGTCTTACTTATGAAGCCTTTGTAGATATCTCTGTCGTGTCGAGGAAATGCGACAGTCTTTGAGAATAGTCCTTCAATGTCTCAACAAAATGCCCGCCGGTGAAGTGAAAGTCGATGACCATAAGGTTGTTCCACCAAAACGAGCCGAAATGAAGGTAGAAGCGTCCAATTTTTCTTTCTCAATGCGAATCGTTCTCGCTGCAGGACTCTATGGAATCGCTAATCCATCATTTTAAATTTTTTACGGAAGGGTATCAAGTTCCACCTGGAGCAACCTATGTTCCGATTGAAGCGCCTAAAGGAGAATTTGGAGTTTATCTTGTTGCTGACGGCACCAGCAAGCCTTACAGGTAGACTGGGAGCTTCTTTACAGCAACACTTGCATGTCTTTATTTGAAGGTGTTACATCCGCGCTCCTGGATTCCCGCATTTGGCTGCTATACACGACATTTGCTATATGTCATTGATAGCTGATGTTGTTGCGGTCATTGGAACTTTGGATATTGTCTTTGGCGAAGTGGATCGATAGTCCCAGTTTGAGTGCTAAGGGCTTGTATTGTATCGATTTTAGTGTGTAGGGTAGAGAATGGAAATACACCTCAGAGTTTGCTTTTGAATACCTCAATAAATATCGAAGTACACTCCTATCAAAGACGCACATCGGAACTGCAGCAAGATTCAGAATGAAGTTGACCATCTTCTGAATCTCTTAATCAGTCGTCCGTTTTTAAGTGCATGTAAAAATATCTGCATAAGGTCTTACGGTACGAAGGCACAAAGTCAAAGACGCCAACGCAGCGCGCGCATGGCGGCTACGGATCAGAAGGTCCTGTCCCGTCTCCGCGCATGGATACCGTTAGGAAACCTACTTACGCACTCTGCGGTAAAAGGCAGTGTCCAGGCAAATTGGACCCATGCATAGACCCAAAATTGGACTCATGCGTTTTTAGCGTTTAAACTGATGAGAGGGTCCTAAC